GCATCCCCCGGCCCCTCCCGCCCCCTCGGCACAAGTTGGGAATCACTTAAAATGGGCCGGGAGCGGGTTCATTTCCCGGCGCGGGGACGGACCCGGATCAAAGCAGCGGGGTGACAGCCCTGTCACCGAGCCCCGAGCCCCGGCATCCCCCCCGTCCCCCGGTGCCCCCCGGGACACCCCCGTCCCCCCCAAGCCCCCCGTCCCCCGCGGTACCTCGGGGCCGCGGCGGAGCCCGTCCCGGGGCCGGCGCTGCGCATCGCGGGCAGGTCGCGGCAGATGGGGCGGAGGGAGGGGGTAAAGATCAGCTCGGAGATTAGGGCGGCATTTTTAGCCGGCCAATCCCCGGCCCCGCGAGGTGACAGCGGCACCGCCGGCAGACGGCGATCACCGGGGGCGGCGGGGTCCCTGCCCCTCCCTCCCGGGGCTCGGGGCTGCCGTGTGCGGGCTGTCGGGGGGCACAGCGGGAACCCCCGTCCTGCCGCCGGGGGCTTCAAACCCCGCACAGAGCCCCGGGCTGGGGGGACACGGGGCCGGTGCCCCCGAGCCCGGGACTCCCGGACCGAGAACCGTGGGGTGCGGGGGGCTCCCAGCCCCCGGCCCGGTGCTTTGGGGTCCCCCGGAGCCCCTTTGCCCGGGGTGGGACATTTTGCCCCCCGGGACCCCCGCAGGGCTTTGCAGCCCCAAAGGGCACCGTGGGGAGCGGTGACACCTCTGGGACCCGGGGGTGTCACGGCTGGGGGTGAAACGGGGGGGTGACACGGCTGGGAGTGACACGGGTGGAGGTGACACGGGGGAGTGACACAGCTGGGGATGACATGGGGGTGACACGGGGGGTGTCACGAGTGGGGGGGGTCGTCCGCTGACCCCCATCAGGCACTGTGGCGGACACCCCGCTCCCCGGCCGGGGGGCCTTCAGGCAGCGCCGCTGCCACCCGCGCGCCGCCGGCGGGGTCCTTCCGGCGGCGGAAGCGGCGGTGCGGCGCATGCGCAATCCTTTCCGGCCGGGCCCCGCCGCCGCCGCCACGGTGAGGCTGCGCTCGGGCCCGGCCGCACCATCGGCGCCGCATCGCCGCCATCCCGGGCCCACCGCGCCCCGTGGGGCGCCGCTGCCACTGTGGGGGCCGCGCCCGGCTGTGCGGGGGGGGAGGGAGCGGGCGCGGGGCGGTTCCGGGGGTGCGGGGGTCTGCTCCCGGTGCCGGCGCCTCCCGTACTCTGGCACTGCCCGCGTCCCTCCGGGGCTCCCGCGGGCCCCGGGGTCACCCGGCCCTGTGTCCTGTTCCTTTTGCAGATGTTGATGCCCAAGAAGAACCGGATCGCCATCTACGAGCTGCTGTTCAAGGAGGGGGTGATGGTGGCCAAGAAGGACGTGCACATGCCCAAGCACCCCGAGCTCGTGGACAAGAACGTGCCCAACCTACACGTCATGAAAGCCATGCAGGTGAGGGGGCTGGGGAGGCAGATGTGGGGTCTGGGGGGACAGGTGTGGGGTCTGGGGGGACAGGTGTGGGGTTTGGGGCCAGGCGTGGGGTCTGGGGGCAGGTGTGGCATCGGGGGAGCAGGTGTGGGGTCTGGAGGCAGGTGTGGGGTTGGAGGGGGGCAGGTGTGGGGTCTGGGGGGGCAGGTAGGGGAATCTGGGGGCATAGGGGAGGGTTGGTCCCTGTGCTTCCCCCTGAGTGGGGCTGATGGTGCAGTTCTGTGCCTGTGAGCTGGTCCCTGTTCCCACATCCCCATTCCCCACATCCCTGTGCAGCTCCAGTGCCCATGAAACACCCGCTGGGGGCACTGGTGGGGGAGCTGGATGGGGCTCAGCCCTGGCTGGGAGTGACTGGGAGCTGTCCCCGCAGTCCCTCAAGTCCCGGGGGTACGTGAAGGAGCAGTTTGCCTGGAGACACTTCTACTGGTACCTGACCAACGAGGGCATCCAGTACCTGCGGGATTACCTGCACCTGCCCCCCGAGATCGTCCCGGCCACGCTGCGCCGCAGCCGCCCCGAGACCGGCCGGCCCCGGCCCAAGGGTGAGCGGGGGCACAGGGGGCTCCCTGCATGGACATGTCACACACCCACCACTCCACGGGGCCCTGACTGGACACGGGGGTCGGACTGGGTGACCTCAAGAGGCCCCTTCCAGCCCCAGCCACGCTGTGGTTCTGTGTGTTGGGCCTGTGTCTCTGGGTTTCCCTGGGTGGGTTTCACAGCCCTGAGGGCAGGAGCTGCTGGTGGTGCAGCCACTCATGTGAGGGCCAGGCACTGCCCTGGGGCCAGGACTGCGGGTGGGGGGTGCTGAGAGCTCCCCTCCAGCTCCTGCAGCTCTTGTCTCAGCCCAGCAAAACAGGAGCATCACCCGCCTCAAAGGGAGGGATTGCACTGATGCTGGGAAGGTGATGGTTCCTTTGATCTCAAGCTGCTCTGGATGTTCCCAGGTTTGTTCCTTAGGTGCTGTGTTTATCCAGGGAGCTGAAGGAGCTGCAGCCCTGCTGGAGCCCTCGCTCAGCCCCACCAGGCAGGGATTCCTGGGAGAGCTGTGCCTGTGCTCTGCTTCCCTGTGGATCAGCTGCCTGGGGCTGCAGCAGCCTGGGAGCCACAGAGCTGTGTGTGGATGGGGGTGCAGGATGAAGCTCAGGGCTCTGACCTGAGCTCTTGGGGAGTTGGAGCCTTCTTTGGTTTGCTGCCAACTCTCCAGCAAGGCCTGGAGCAAATGCTGGAATAAGGGGCTGGAGCAGGTTCCAGAGAACTGGGGGCTGATCTTTGGGATTTGTGTCTCTGTCTTAGGTGTCACTGAACGTTTGGGTGTTAAGGATGGACAGAAATGAAGTTTAAAATGATCTATCCATGGGTGGGGTATGTGCTGTAGGGGTTTGATCTGGCAGGAAGGGAGGACAGGGAAACATCTGCAGGAGAAATTCATCCTCAGCGGGGAGTGTTCCTCTTTGTAATAAAAGAGTTATAAGAGCTGGCTCTGCCTGTGGCTGTGCAGGAGGACACTGAGGAGGTACAGCTGCCCCTGCGTGGGTCCTGCCCGGCCCCTGAGAGCAGCACAGGGGCTGGTGGGTCCCACACAGCTGGTCCTCTGTGTGGTATTAACCTGAGGTTCCAGAGCTAACCTGCTCTTGGTGTTCTGAACCTGTTCTGTTGGAGGGATTTGAGTACTGACAGTGTGGCTGTTTCAGAGTGATGTGCACTTTGTCACTGTGGGCAGGCTTGCTGGACATGGCAGATTCCCAGAATTTGTGAGGCTTTTATCATCTATAATGTTTGGCTCTTGTTTGACAGCCAGAAGACTGTTGAGACGATGCTGTAAAGCCATTTCTCACATAATATTTAACTTGCACCCGATCACAAGCTGGGGCACTTTTTCCCCCCTCAAAGTGAAGTTTTCCATATTAAATCCCTGTTTTCCTTAGGTTTATCCTCGCTGAGCTGCTCCAGGGGTGGCACCGCTGGCAGATCCAAGGCTGGTCTGCACCCTGGGGCGCAGGTGCCCCCCAAAGGGGCTGTTTGAGGCCTGGCTGGGCGGTGATGGGGGGTGTTGTTGTTGCAGGTCTGGAGGGCGAGCGGCCGGCGCGGCTGACGCGGGGCGAGGCTGACCGGGACACGTACCGGCGCAGCGCCGTGCCACGTGAGTGCCCCCTCGTCCTGCGCTGGGTGCAGCCCCAGCTCCACCCCGTGTGGTCCCAGGCAGGAGCACTGCCCTGGGCAGGGCGTTCTGTGAGCACTGACTGCTCCTCTCTTTGCAGCTGGTGCTGACAAGAAGGCTGAGGCTGGTGCTGGAGCAGCCACCGAATTCCAGTTCGTGAGTGTTTGCATTTGGGATTCGCTTCCTTTGTTGAGGCTTTGATGGGAAGAGCTGGAAGGTCCTATGGGTGTGCGGGGCTCTGAGAGTGTAAGAGAGGCTGGAAGCTGTCACCCTTCACACCCAGCTCTCTCTCTGTGAGTAGAGGACGTGGTGGCCTCGATGCTGGGACAGAGAGGCCAGCAGCAGGTCTGAGAGCAAGCTGAGCTCTCTGGAGATCCATGACTATAGTACTGAAATAAGAGTTATAGAACTGGCTGGGGTGGGTTGGTGTTGGTATCAATCACCTGGTTAACCTGTGCCGGCTAGTGAATGTCAAACAGGTCGGCGTTAGGTTGTTAACAAAGTAACGCTGAGCTGAGGACAGAGCTTTGATGGTGGAGTTTGTTCTTTGCTCTGTGTTTGCTGCTGTCCCTTGCCTGACACAGTGATCTCTAACACTCTCCCTTTCCTGTTGCAGAGAGGTGGATTCGGCCGTGGCCGTGGGCAGCCCCCGCAGTAGAACCCCCTGCTCATGCTTTGTGTATAATAAAAGAGGTGAAAATGCCACTGGGTCCATCCCTGTGTTTCACTGAAGTGCATAAACATCTCGGGAGCAGAGGGTGACTCAGATGTGTGGCACGTGGGACAGCACTGGGGGAATGAGTTGTGCTTAGAGGAAAGGAACGTGCCGGGTTTGGTGGTTCCTGCCGGGTGTGTGGAGGTGATTCCTGGAGGAAGGTGGAGCCGCTGTCCCTGTGCCCGGGATGACGGGGATTCCCAGCGGTGCCGGGGGGGGGGGCGGAGCCGGGGACACCGGAGCAGAGGCCGCCGTGCGCCGCCAGGTGTCGCTGGGGAGCAGTGCCGGTGATCGGTGACGGGACGGACGGATGGACGGACAGACAGACACTGCCCGGGGGTGTCGCCGGGGGCCGGACGGACACACGGACACCCCGGTGCCTCAGCGCCCCCTGGCGGCACGGGGCGGGCGCTGCCCCCGCGGGGCCACGTGCGCGCGCCCCTGCGCCGTTTGCGTAACTCGGGGCGGCCCCTGCGCCGCCCGCCCCGTTCCCCAGCGCTCCTGGGGCCGCGCTGCGCCGTTTGCGTGGCGGGCGATTCCCGGAGCCGTTACGCCGTTTGCGTGGCGGGCGGTTCCCGGAGCCGCAGCGGCAGCGCCGCCCCCGCCCGGCCGCGCTGCGCCGGTTGCGTAGCGAGCCCCAAGATGGCGGCGCGGTCGTCGTCGGCGGAGGCCGGAGCGCGGGCGGCGGCGGAGGCGCGGCTGGAGGCGAGGGCAGGGGTGAGGCGGGCGAGGGGCGGCAGCGCGTAGCGAGACCCACAGACCGAGACCCACAGAGAGACTGTCGCGGGTGGGCGGCCCCCCCGCGCCCCCCCGTCCTTCCCCGCCCGGCGGGTCCCGCCCTCCCCCGCCCTCCGGGCCGCGCGTCCTCCGGCCCCGCCGCCCCCGGAGCGGAGGATGATGAAGCTCAAGTCCAACCAGACGCGCACCTACGACGGGGACGGCTACAAGAAGCGGGCGGCCTGCCTGTGCTTCCGCAGCGAGAGCGAGGAGGAGGTGAGGGCCGGGCGGGGGGCGAGGCCGGGCCCGGGACCCCCGAGCCGCCCGGGGGAGGGGGGGGGGAGCTCGGTCCCAGCGGGGGGTTATTTTTAATAGGCGTAATTAAGCGTTAGTGGGGAAGTTGGTGCTTCCCCCCATGGCTATTCCTCCCCGTTAGAGCCGGGGGATGCCGCGGGGGTGGTGGGACAGGCTGGGGCAGCGCGGGAGGGGGTTTGGCAGCCGAGGGGACCGACCACGCTGGCACAACTTCAGTCCAGCACATCACATGAGATGGGAGAGGAAACCTGACCTTGGATTTATAAAAAGAAACTGGGATAAAAGGGGACTGATGGAGTGCCAGAAGTTGCTGTCCAGAGAGCTTGGGAGGAAGTGGGAATTAAAGGTGGATTGGTTGGTTTCAGAGCGGCCGCGTTGCTAAGGGGCTGCATTGTCCGTGCAGTTCCAGAGACTTCACTCAGATGTGCAGTTTCGCACTATTCTTTATTAATACCTTCTGAAGGTGGGCTCGGGGTGCTCAGAGCAGTAGGGTTGCGGGTCTCCCTTGTGCTGCTGCGGGAGCCAGGCACACACACTCCACTGCGTTTGCTGTGCCCGAGTGAGTGGCTGTGCTAAAGTCTTTGTTCTCCTGATTATCATATTTGTAGCTACAGGAAATCTGAAGGGAATGCAGACAGTTCACTGGAGGAAAGGCAATTAGCATACATCCAGTTATTATTTAATGTGAAGGAAGCTGCACAAGCCCTTTGTAGCTGTGCTGGCGTGGTGAGGAGTGTCAGCATTTCAGCAGAAATGGTCTGAAGCTACAACAGTGTGTTTGGTGCAGCTTCAATGTAGCTGGTCCTTCCCATGAGCTATGAGGAAATTTATGGTACTTTGAACTAACTGTGAAGCAGAACATAATTGTATTGTGTGACAGTGGTGGGGCTGCTCAGCACAGGTGGGTGAGGGTGTCAGGGTGTCCTCGTGCCATTTCACACAATTGCTGAGGCAGTTTGGAGATTCTTCTCAAGAGGTGGAGGCTTGGCCATGTCTGATTGCAGTGTGGTTAAGGGCAGAAATGTACTTTAAACAGGTACCTGATGTAACCAGACTTTGGTTATGAGTTTTATTTTAGCACACCTCAGTTGGCAGCATCCAGCTGATCCCTCCACCTCCTCCAGCCCCTGGGAGCTGCTCTCAGAGCCCTCAGGTGTGTTGAGGACCAGTGTCAGAGCCCTCAAAGTGCTGGGACCCCAAGTGTGGCAGTGTCCCAGTGCTGACCCAAGAGGGTCGAAGGAGGAAAGTGAACTCATTCCAGAGGCAGCTGGGGTGGGACAGGTGCTTTCAGCAGGCCCAGCTGTCAGGTTTGTGTAAGGCTGAGCTTTAAAATCATCTCTGTGTTAGTTGTACCTCTGCTGTGGTCTGCAACAACCTGTGGTAGATTGAAGGATCTCATTTAATTTAAGCTGGTCCCATTTCAGGCTGTAGTTTCTGGGTATGACCTAGGGTAGAACAGTCTGCTCCTGGTTTTGCAGGCAGGAGTTGGGGGAGCTGGCTCCCCAGGCTGGTTGTGCTGGGTCCTTCCCAGGGGTCTCTGAGGCTGCGGGTGGAGCTCTGGGCAGGTTTTAGTGCCCAGGGCAGAGGAGGTTCTGGGTGAATGTCGTGTTGTCCCTGGAGCTGTGGGCACTGTGGGTGTGTGGCCTTGTCCCCTCGTCCCCAGTGACGTGGGGCGGTGGCTGTGCTGCCCTGGGACGCCTCGGGGAGGGAGCACTGGTTGCTGTGTCAGTGCTGCAGCCTGGGCTGGGGGGGTTTCCTCGGGATGTGCCCTGTGTGTGCTGTTGGTGAGGAGCCCCAGCAGGATGAGGCAGGGAGGGACAGTTCTGCTCCATTCCGAATGCAGCCTTTCCAGGGCCCTGTTTGTGTGTGGTACGTGTGACTTGAACCCTGAGCTGAAACTGCAGCCTCTGTTCTCACCTGTTACACCCCTGCTGTGGGAGCTGCCCAGCAAGTGAGATTGTCTCGAGTACATTTAGGAAAATTCTTATCCAGTCCCACTGGGATGGATCCTGTGCTTGGCCTTGGCCAAAAGGCCGAGAAGCCATTTGAGTCAAACTTGTGTCATGATTGAAATCAGCGAGCAGGACACCTTGATTTTTAGTAATTTTTCTTTCTAGTTTTTCCTTAGGTTAATTCACATTTCTTGTCACTTAAATAAACTTTGAGGGAAGGCAACTTGTGTGCACTCACTGCTGCCCACGTTTTTTGATACCAAGTGAGGTGTTACCTGTACATGTTTAAGTAGATGGTTGAACATGGCTGTGAAAGATTTCTTGGTCTGCTCTTGGAGAATAATACTTTCTTATGCTGACATATTTTATTATTGATTGCTTCTATTTAAATGGAAATTGGGATCTATTTAAAAGGTCTCTCCAGGGAGGGGAGAAAGAGTCAGAGCCAAAGTATGTACATTAAAGATCTATTAAAAGCTTACTGTTTGAAAAGAAGAGAGAAGAAAAGAACCATGTTTTGATAAATAAATTAAACTTACTGCATTACATAGGATTTTTTCCTAGGACTGGCTGTTTCTGGTTGCTCTTTCTTTTAAGTGCTTAACAAATAGTAGAACTTTGCTCTTGCTTTTCTTCTTAATTTCCTCCTATGACTTTGAAAAACCCAGTTTTCTCCTGTTTCGAACCCCTAATTAGTTCTTGAATTAAACAAGTCTGTCGATGAACAAGAAGAAATAAGACAAATTCTGTTTACACTTACAGAGGAGGCTGCTTTCTTCTGTTTAGGTGTTTACTCCCTGACTCGTCACTTCACTCATGTATTTTTCTTTGAAATCCCAGCAATCCCTGGAGATTGCTTAAGCAGCATGTCCTTGGTTTGATGATACATTTGCAAATAAAGGGTCTTAACAGAGAAATACTTTGTTTCCTTTTTAGTTTTTAAGTGATTTATTTTTTCCTTATGCTGCTGGAGGTCGCACATTGTCTCTGTATTGCATTTGGAAACTGCTACTTTTGGACATGAAAGAAGCTCTGGAACGTTTTTGGAAGACCAAGCATTGGCTGAAAAGATGCCTTTGTTACATATTCCTTTAAAAAACAGCACAGGGAGAATTCATTTCAACATGAATCTCAAATGGAGCAAAAAGTACATTTCTGACTTGGGCTCTGTGGACAGCCCCCAAAATGTGTGTGGTGTCCCAAACCAGGAGTCGTCTCCTTGGGCAGGAGGGAGAGCAGGGGCAGCAACAGGATTCATTGGGAGAGTGGGAACAGACTTCAAAGGACCTTTTGGCAGCGAACCCAGGGCTCTGTTTCCTTCTCTTCAGGTGGAGTGAACTCCCGGGATATTTGCACAAGTGGGGAAGGAGAGCGCGGAGCGAGAGCTCCCGAGTCCTGTGTTACCTCTGGAATCACTCAGTGGTGTCCCTGCCTCTCAATATTGCTGTCAGGGTGTTATTTTTACATAACACACGTATCTTCTGTGTAGAGCAGCTGTTTCCACGAGGAAATGGTCCAGAAAGTGTCCCTAATGCCTTCCTGTGCAGCAGCAGCTGGAGCCGTGCTCCGTGTGGGATCTGACAGGGATAAAAGGGCTGTGAGGCCAGGGCAGCGGCAGGTCTGAGCAGGCCCACATTGTGTCTGTGAAAGGACAAGCTGCTCGTTAACCAGGGCCGTTTTTAAAGACTTTTTGGAGGAAATGCCTGGGGAAGAATAGGATCCGGGCTCGGTCATCTTTTCTGAGTTGTGAATGAGGCCTGAATGGAGCTGAGAGAAGGGAAGTTTCACCCAGGGGCCAGTGCCCTGCCAAGCCCTGCAGTCACCAGAGTGGCCCCACGGCCTCCCTGGGAAAGCCTTTGGAATGCAAACGAACCTTTTTCTTCCGACCTCTCCTGGGCCGGTTTTACTCCAGCTGTGATGTAACAGGCAGAGCGGGATTGGAGCCACGGGCTGTGTTGGGTATCACGCGCTGCTCCTGGGCCATCCTTTGTGCTCTGCTCCAGTATTAACCAATAACAGCCAAAACCACTTGAAGTGCTTCACTGTTGGGATGTAGGTGAGCCCAGCATCATGTGATCATCCTGCTTCCCATGGAATACAGGCTCAGAATCCCTGTTCTGATGGCTCAGCTTGGCTGTGCTGCTGTCAGCTACATAAAAGGGTTGTGGTTGAAACCAAATAAAGTTCTCCCTGTCTGTTGCTAACACATTACCACATCTGCAGGAGGATAAGGGCCAGCTTGGAAATGGGTCTCCTGCCTGTGCTTCTCCTGCCCCTCTCAGCTCTGCTCACAGCTCGTGTTCTCCAAGAGCAGGAGCATGGACAGACATTTGCAAGACCTGGCTTTCATCTCAGAAAGTGTTTCGCCTTCCCACAAAGGCAGCTGTCACTGAACAGTTTTACAAGCAATTCCACCTCTCTTGTACTTTCCCAAACAACAAAAGAATGAAAATTGTTAAATTTTCACTTCATTCACTGGAGGCTCAGTAAGTTGTTTTGAAACTGAAGAATTGAGTCAGTTTTGTTCTGCTGCAACTCAGGGAAAAGTGATGAATATGGGAAGAGGAGGGTGTGCTCCACCCTGGCTCTGTGGAGAAGGACCCAGGAGTGGTGTGTACTCTGCGGAACAGTGCTTTGGAATCTCTTCCAGCTCACATCCATTTATTGCCTGACCTGAGTCGGGGGCTCTTTTTCCTGCTTTTCTCTCCTCATGCTGTGTCATGGGTCACCCACAAAAATTGGATAGAGCAAAATCAACAAAACTCTACCTTACAAATAGCAAACATCCATTTTGGGATGCTGTATGTGACCTTCAGTGGTTGGGAAGCAGGGACTCCATTTCTTTTTCTTTTGTTCTTTTTCAGTCCAACCGAAGGACTGGCTGCACAGACCAGTCAAGGATATTTCAAATTTTGTGTGTCTTTGTATCAGAATTCGTGTCTCTGGGGCTGCCCTTGTTGGGCAGTGGATAATTCACTCTGACTCTTTGTTCTCAGAAATTTCATGTTA